CAAAAACCTCTAATTTGGGCTTAAAATGGGAGGTCTGAAGCCTGGGGGTTCTCCAGTACAATGTATGTTTTGTACACCAGAGGCTTTCACCCTGATTGACCTCATCTAATGGCCCAGTTCAATAGCGAGTTAAAGAATAGGAGTTGCTTTATAGAGGAACAAATAGATGCTTATTTTAGTATCTTTTCAAGAAATGACTCGTTCCACTGTTCCTCCCGGGTGTTTTTCAGTTCCTTGCTTCTTTATATTGCAGAGAGATTACCTGCCAGATTTCTATCCATTAGGATTTCCAGCCTCTTGGGCTTCTCTTAAGTTCTTGGGATACTGCTTAGGAAAATGCATTTAATAGGAGTGTAGGGACAGTGATGAGGACTGCGCTGATCAGGTCAGACTGCACACATAGGGATGTGTTATTTCTGATCAAAACCACTTCCATCTGTGCTCTGCCAAAGGTCTGTCCAGATCCCACCCTCATTTTGCCTAATACAAGATAGTACACTGCAGTATTGCACAGAGCAGGAGTGGAGGTGGTTGGCTTTGAACACCCACGTCTTCATCTTGCCTTAAAACCTGAATTTACAGACTGATGTTTCCTTATGCTAACTCATCGTGGCATCTTGAGAAGACACAGAACATCTTCTGGGGTGTAATGGGAACTGCCTTAGGAGCAAGATGTCCTTATGTGACGGCCGGGGCAGGACTCCACCAAGAGGAAGAACCACAGAACAAAGCAGATTAGGCAGCTACGCAAAGGCAGATCTAGTTGAGAGACAAACATTGGTACAGTCAGGACAACTTCCCACAGGAAAAATAATGTGCATTTCGGAAGTATCTTGTATGGTAAAAGCATAAAGAGAGGGAAAAGCTTAAATGAAGCCTAGAGCATACATACATAGAGTGGCATCAGTAGAGCAAAGTGCAGCAACAAACATGCAGGCTGTGAAGCCAGAATGAAATCCTGATAAGATCAAGGGATCAGAAGCACTTTTTTCCTTGCTTTGCTATTCCATCAGTAAGAAGAAAGACTCATTGGAAGATGTTTGCTTCTATAGAAAGTTACCTATTGACACACATTGCTTTTTTTAAAGCACACAACTGTGGTTGGTCCTATATTTAAAACATGTTTGAATGCAGGCTAGAAATATTAACTTTAAATATAAACCACAAAATAACCCCAATACCACCACCCCCCCACACACAGGAATTTGAACATCTGTTCCAAATTCTGATCTTATCATGATTTATTTTCCCTTGCAAATGCAGAAGCATTCCTGTTTGGAGGGCTCAGGCTTGCAGAGTTCCAAGCTCTCCTCGAGACCCTGCGAGTTCCTGGCCTGCAAAACTGCCCATTTCCAGAGCTCCAGACTCAGACCAGCGACGCCTCCATCCCACACAAGCCATACACAGGGTCAAGAAGATACAGCACAGGATGCAATGCCCCCTGATGAAACACATGGAACCGGACAGGAATGCAACTGAAACATCCCCCCTGTTAAATGCAAACCTTTGTGCACCTGATGCTGCCAAATGCCGAGGATACAGCTTAAGCATTGCAGTGTAATAAGTGACACACAATAATTCAGACTGGGGATAAATTAATAACAGGCTTAATGGCTTGGCTGGTACCAGTGAGCAAAAGGATTTATGCTCCTTAAAAAGTGATTGGGTATCAATGTCTTTGTATGTTTCCTGGTTTGGATGAGGACATACTCCTATGAACCAGCTGTGCTCCCAGATGAATGCCTGTTTTCTGCAGCCCATACATGCATGATGCTGCCTCTCCTCATCCCAAACCAGACTCCTATCCTGCAGGAAACTTAAGGATTGCTAAAACAACGTCAAGCTGCCAGTCACCAAGGACTTGTGCTAAAACTGGATTAAAAATGACACTGAAGTGCACTCTCCCTACAGCTACCATGTGAAATGGTAGAAACAGACATGGTTTAGCCCTGGCAGTGCTGGAGTGAAGGCTGGGCTTGATGCTCTTGATGTTCCAAGCTGGTTGGTCCTATGATTCTATGGAATTCCAGCTGATTAGTGCCTCCCAGTCCCCTTCTTTTCCAGTCATTAACATTGCCACATGTTATTAGGTTATCCCCAGCAAGTATCACAGAAGCTAACAGGCTCCGCGTGACCGTCTACAGATGCACAGGTAGATGATGTCCACACTCACCAGTGAGAACTCCCAGCTCAACTGAGGCTGTCAAAGCACTTGGATAAAAGGTATTATAAAGCAGAAAACAAGAGAGCCTTAATTTACAGTACGTGCCATGCCTTAAAGAACTGCTTTGCCTTAAAGACAGAAGAGTTTAGAAAGCATTCAACAACCCCTGGCATTTGAAAATGATGGCCATTACCTACGGATTCACATTTGTGGATGGTGTTTTAATTGCCATCGATCTGATCCCAACAGCCTGACCAGCTTAGTCAGGCAAGAGAAGGATAAACCAGAATCTGGCCAAAGTTAAGAGTAAGGCTAGAAAATACTCAGCATGCTACAAGCTTACAAAGATCAACTTGCTGCCATGAACAAGAATCCCAGGATATTACATGATACACAGCAGCCACCTCCAATGCACTGCATCAACTACCTCGCAACAGCAAACAACCTCGAGAACAATACTTAAATCATCAAAATAAGGTTGATGAGCAATAGGATTCCCCTTCCCATCCACCCTGATCCCTTTCCCATCCCTCTGTGGGGCAGGAATCCTCGGGCGAAGAGCTGCTTATTCCAGATTCCCTCTGCAGAGGAAGAACTGCTAGTGGCACTGCAAAACCACCTCTGGCTTGGTGCAGCAGCAGCAGCAGGTAAAAGGAGTGGGGTCACCATCAGGGTTCACAACTGACATCACTCTTGTGCTGCTGATTTCATAGCTAAAGTTACAGCTCCACTCTGGTGCCAGGCTCATCATGTTTGGGTTAGAAGGGAGCTTAAGGCCCCTCCAGTTCCAACCCCTGCCACAGGCAGGGACCCCTTCCACAGGAGCAGCTTGCTCCAAGCCCCTGTGTCCAACCTGGCCTTGAGCACTGCCAGGGATGGGGCAGCCACAGCTTCTCTGGGCACCCTGTGCCAGCGCCTCAGCACCCTCACAGGGAAGAGCTTCTGCCTAAGAGCTCAGCTCAGTCTCCCCTCGGGCAGGTTCAAGCCATTCCCCTTGCCCTGTCCCTACAGGCCCTTGTCCCAAGCCCCTCTCCAGGCTTCCTGCAGCCCCTTTAGGCACTGGAGCTGCTCTAAGGTAACAGAGTGCCACAGTCAAATTATTCTGGCCAGTTTGAGAGCATGCACTGCCTACAGCTGGAGCCTTGTGTGCCCCATCTCCCACAACAGAGAGCATCCAGCAGCCCCAGCACCCTAAAAGCCACCAGTAAAGACTTGGGGTCTTACAGCTGCTGGTTTGGGAAAGCAGCACTGAGGGGTCATCCAAGGAAGTCGTTAGTGCAGGTTGTATCAAGCGGTTTTGTTAATAAGCAGGGGAAAGAGGAATCTGATTTGCAATAACATTTATTAAGGATAAATGTACATATTTACAAAGAAAAATCTGAGAAAAAATACAAAACCGAAGAAGTGTTCCAAAAGAGAGCAGTTCAGGTAAAAAAGAAAGTGTTTCTAGTCCCCGCAGACCCATCCAGCACAACCATGTACCACTGCTAGAAGATCCCAAAGCGGCACAACCCTGGTCCCTTCCCTCCAGCTTCACAAACCAAGACAGAAGCAAACAGAGACACAAGAGAATCCACCACTGATGGGTTCTCCAGTGCCACCCCCTAGTAAGTACAGACCAAAGAGTTTCCAAATGAGTCTATAAGCCATCTTTGGGATGTTTTCCCCGGAGAGCATCCTCCCTCATTCTGCAGGTCAGAACAGGCGCCATCAACTCATGAAAACCCAATAAACCAGTGGAATAATTCTCAGAGTGACAAATTACTGACCTTTATATGAAGTAAAAGACACTTGCCCATAACCTTCTCAAGGAGCCCCATAACCTTCTCGAAGTTGGACAAGGCCAGCCCTACCTCCTCCCCACAAACACAAACCACTCCCTTGCTGCCACACTGAGGAAATCCACCTCATCCTCATTATTCCAGGATAGGAAGCAAGTACTGAATAACTGCTCTTTAGGATCATCACTAGTTTCTGCACAAACTGCAAGGGAGGAGAGCTGGTTTAGCTTAACTCCATACCCCAACCTGAGCTGCCCATAGAGAGTCCTCAGCTCATCTTCTGTTGACCCACCAGGCAAAGCAGCATGTGGCAGGAGATGCAGCCAATACCCTCCTTTATCTGCTCACTTTTAATAACAGCAAAGGAAAGAGGGATGTTGGTTTATGCATACCTTGAGTATCACCAATGATCATCACCTGCATTGCAAGACCTAACTCAACCTCAGAGCTGAATCCAAGTTTCAAGTCACTGGCTCTGGAGTACTTGCTGCTTCGAAATACTAACATCACCTCTTCCTAAAGCATGAAAGCATGAGATACTCTGTGGTTTATCTGGCACTGGGATGAGATGATACCAGGGTAGGAAGGTTCAGAAAGTGAGCACGGAGCCAACACCAACTTCATGATGGAAAACAATGAAGCCTTGACAGCCACTAACTGGATCCACACACGAGCACCAAAGAGCCTCGCTGCAGCTGAGTGTCCACACCACAGCACACTGGGGATGTCTAATCAACATCAGAACTGCTGGAGAAGCCTGACACCATTTTCTGCAGCAGGTCCCATGGAAAATGAGGATTTCTCATGCCAACCTGGATGAGGTTACCTGCTGTGGACACCACCAGCTTCCCTTGGAAGGGATAATTCAATTCGGCATCACCCGCAGGTGGGCACTGCACTGGCCACATCCAAACACTGCCCAGGGTCAGGGAGCCGGGGTTTTGCAGCAGGTTTGTTCCTGAGGCAAAAGGGAGCTAAGAACACGTGTTGGCTCCTTTACCGACACCCTGAGAGCTCTGCCCTTAAACAAAGTTAGAGCAAATCACCTCTCCTGCACAACACAGGCATCCCAAAATCCCTTCTTTCAGCACTGCATCCTGTGCAGGCATCCAGGGAAAGGGGTGAAAGCAGGACTGAACCAACACAGCACTGACATGTATGAGATACAGGATGAAAGAAAGCAGAGGAGTGACAAGCAAAGGGGCTGGAGCAGAATGGGCACATCACTGTGGTGTCAACCAGATGAGGTTTCTGCTCCTGGCAAGCTATGGGCTCTCTCTGTCAGGAGAGATCATAACCACCCAGATGAATGTCGATAACTGGCCTCTAAACTGCCATAGAAATATAAAGCATTTGATCAGGTTCTTTATACTCTGCAGTGATAAGTGTTCTATAAATCCCAAAAATGTTCCTGAGCATTCTCAGAGTGTAAAGTTTCAAAGGTTTTTTGCTGATGAAAACCAGCCTTATCTCAAGATTTAAATCAGAAAAAGAGAGACCATCTCAATAAAGAAGTTGAAGAACTGAGTTTAAGCAACAGAGCGAATCTCCCACCCCTCTCAGATAAGATACCCTGAGCATTATGTTTAAATATTGCTCTGGGCAAGGATATTCAGACTTCAGGTCCTTTGGAACTGGCAGAGCTACAGAAGTCATGGCTTTGCAGAAGTCACTGGTATGGCTTCAAAGTACTTGTCACCGGATCACAATGACAGCATGCAGCAACCTGACTGCTCACAGCAGCCACACGGCAGCTAACCCGAGCAATGGCTTTGAAAGGGAGCAGGAGTGTGCTTAAGCTGCTCTTCCCCAGGAAATATGGACAGAAAATGGACAGAGAGAGATCCAACCAACTCCTGTCCCTTCTCTCTCCACACCAGGCTGGGGAAAAGGAATACTCCCTGGTTTTCATCATGTCTGTTCCAATCTGGGGAAGGAGACTGAGGCAGGGAATTCCAGTCAGAAGCATCCCCTTGGCTTCTTCCAACCTCTATCTTCTGGCACCTCAGCATCCTTCCCCTCCCCTCCTCTCCCACCTTGCTTAAGACACTCACACCAAGTTTGCCAGAGTCCAAGCACACTCTAAGGATGCAGCACCATCCATCCACTGCCTGCACAACAACCCAGTGACTCCTACACTTCCTACTGCTGAAAGAGGAAGACTCTGTATTAAAGGCAGTGTATTAAAAAGAGAAGAATACTTTCCAAGGAAAAATCAGCATCCTCAAAAAACAAAAGTCCTAAAGGCACAAACCGGTGAACTCATCGGAGCAGGTTACAAGAGGAACTGGGAGGATTCCTGTGAGATTACAACAAAGGGGTTCACAAGCAACCTAAAGTTTCTGAGACAGCATTTAGAGAGCCTCAACCTGTACCCTAAGTGAAGAGAGAGGCAGCTCAAGTGGTCCGTGATACACCACAGCCCTTCAGATCAGACAGCACGTGCTGTATTTGCCTTATGTCTTTTTCCTGTAAGCTTCCTAAATAACACTGTTCACATGGATACAGATCTAGAAAGGGTTATAAATACATGTATTTATATATATTCACACATTTTAGTCCCTGTAGTAAACATCTGCTCCTTTCTCTTCAGTGCTGCTGGAGCAGCTGCCAACACTGATGGCACTGGTGGCTGTTCAGAGAAGTAATTGTGTCTACACCAACCCTCCGGAGTAGGCAAGAGAAAGCAGATTACTACAAAAGGAGAAGCACTTGGCTCAGCTCAGTCCCATAATTACTATATACAGAAAAGAAACCCTTTAGACACAAAGTCCCATCTTCCCTCCAGCTCACAAAGCAGTTCTGCTCAGCCCAGCTCAACCAGGGTAAAGCATCATCCAGACATTTACATTTGTAGGCAATAAACAACAAGCAGCATGCAACGGTTCCGTTAAGAGAAGTCAAAACAATCCATGGCTGTAACATTAGAAGTGTGTCCTGATGTGGTAAAGTCATGCTAACAGAGGAGACGTACCTAAGAGCAGGTTACTCCACTCCTGTGACCTAAGCAAACATGCGCCAGTTAGTTCACACAAATGAAATAAAACACATCTGGAGTGCACCGAGACCACCAGGTTCAGAAAAATGAGTCATTTCTTTACAATAAATACATCTTTGCAATGGGTTTTTTCCTATAACATGGTGTACTTCCTTGGAAATGAGGATAAATGGACAGGGGGGAGCTGTGGTGCTTTGCAAAAGGCTTCCCCCACCAGGAAAATGACAAGCTGCCTGTTCCTGTCTCTAAGTTAACTCTAACAGCAGCATTGAGAATCAACACTTCTTATTTAAAGCAGTAATAGTTGGCTAGAAAAGGAGTGGTTATGGATTAGATTCGGCAGATTGCTGCAAAGCTGCTTTTGGACCAGCATCAAACGTCCTTCTTGTGAATACCTTACATTGAAACCTTAAAAGCAAGTCTTCAGCAATGCCTATGCGATGTCTACAGGGGCTGAAGCAGCAAATGTCTCCTGCCATGTATCTACACTCCCCATCTGGCCTCTTATAGCAACTGGGAGCACACTGTACAATTATAGAGCAGGAAACTTCCCAATGGACCTGGCAATCCATGACCACTCCTGCCAGGGCCCGGATCACAGCTACACATGACACAGAGCAGGATTAACACAACGCTCGTGGGGAGTCCCCTTCCCGGGACAGTGAACTACGGAGAGCAAAGACCAGGACAAGGAAGATGCAGCAGAGGCTACGGCCAAGACATTCAGGAGCTTTGGTCTTGAGGTTTCAACACGACCCTGTTGCCACTCAGAGAAAGAGCAGCCACCAAACAGTCAGTGCTATGACCAGGAGAAAGGACATCATAAAGGGAATACGTGGAGAAGGAAAAATGCTAGAGTACAGCTGACACTTTTTGAGTGCTTTCTGCTCTTCAGGGATTGGAATAGAAACCTTTGGAAGAGTTTCTTCACTTGCTTGCCGGGCAAAGGCTGTCTCAGTAGGTATCTCCTGCTTTTTTAGTTTGTCTTCATCCTGTACTAACAGAGGATGCTCCCGTGTCTGCTTTCGTGGTAGAAGATCAAGAGAGACAGAGAGAGATGAACAAAAATGACAGATGGGAAGTGCCCAATAGGATACTTGGAGGTGTGCAAAGCATGAGGACAGCCTTCTCAATGTAAAAATTAACTGCCCAGGAGAGCAGAGCTGCTGGTGGCTTGGGCTGCACCAGCCTCAGGGCTACAAAGCGCAGTCCTCTCTGCAGAGCTCATGAACATCTGCATCAGGATCATGCGTGTTTTGACACAAACATCTGGATCATGACCATGATTTACACCTGCCCTCCCAGAAAAGCGTGTGCTTGGAACCCACTGAAGTGTTTTGGAATTGAAATGGCTGAGAAAAAACATGTGAGGCATAAGGAACAGAAGCAGTGGAGTACAAAACGTGGTCTCTGACAGCCACCTACTCTACAGGGCTCTCAGAAAGCAGCCTTTGCTCAGTGTCACTGAGCATCCAGACTGCAGTGCAGGTACAAAAAGCTTTGCCAAACTTCTGGTGACAGTATCAAAATAATTCATTTGAAAACCCTACTGGAACAAGTGGAAAACCGCTCAGCTCAGAAACGCTGAGCGCGGAGCTGCAGGATGGCAGTGGGAGCCCTGCAACCTCCTTCCAGTTTGCTCTTTTGCACTTTAGTTTCTGGAGTCTAAAGAATGTAAAAGCCCAGACTGAGTAAATCATCACAGGGTCAAGCAAGGGCTCCAGTGCTTCCACTGAAGACAGAAAAGGCTGTGGGAAATGTAGCTTTTTAGTAACTCTCCATCCCTTTAGTTTGCCAGACCTGGTCAGACCCAAGCGTGCCTAGGAGAGGAAGAACTTGGCTCTGAGCTCTCTGAGCTGAGCTAACCTCCTTTGATCAGGGCGGTATTTTGGGACTGGTTCTTTGCACACCCCTAAGTGATGAGGATTAGGGAGAAAGTAGCCAGGAGACTGGGCAGCAAAAGAAAATATAAAATGCAAGAGTAACATGATCATTAAAACAAAAGAAAAACAGAAAGAAAGACAACATAAAAAGAACAGGGTACAGTTAAACTTTCATCATTGCTTTGCTCGCCGAGTACACGGTTATATCTTTCATGCAGCTTGTTTTTCCAACCAGCCATGCACCAAAAGAAGCAGAATTGAAAGCTGCAAAAGCTGCAGCAGTGCAGAAGTCCTCTCGGTGTGAGTTATGAAACTACTTCATGTAGCCAAAAGAAAGAAAGTGTTATCCAGCAGCTGCTGTTGAGTTTTTGCTTTGGTGCCATCGCAATAGCAAAAGTCTGGTTCAGAAGCACATATCAGAACAGCAGCTTTACCTCAAGCCCACCAACCTGTCTCTCAGAAGATAGGACAGTGACTTTCTTGACCTGGACACATAAAGCGTGTTAAGGTTCAGTTGTTGTGCCATAAAACATCTAGGAACAGCAGAAAAGCAGCCCCTGGCAGAACACCCCTTGGTCACTATCGCAGGGGGAAGGTAATACCATGACCAGGAGAAACAGGATTGCTTTGCATCATCATTTCCTGTCCTTAAACATGTGCAGGTGAAGCAAAACCCACCCCAGTAGCTGCCTGGTGAAGATGCATTTCTGGATGCTCACAGCAGAACCACCTCCACCTCAGAGCAAGCCCACTTCAGAGGGGATCAGATTAAGAGGGTATTTCCAGAAATGCAAGTCCAAGGCTGCCATCAATTCCTGCATTGCTGTGGACCTCAGACAGGGAAGGCCCACACCATCCAGTTACCGTGAAGAGCAGCCCCAAGACCTCACAATGTGGTCGCCTTGGAAGAAACTCTTCATGATACCCAAGAACATCACTCTTGAAATGCAGTTGTGGAGCTTGGGAGCCCCTGCTCTGTCCCACCTGCACATCCCTACACCCAACAGCACTGCAGCACTCTGCTGCCCATGTTCCTGCAGAATTGACCCTGATGCTCAGCAAGCAAAGAGGAAAACCCATCCATGTGCTGAACTGGGTAATTCCAAGCATAATAATCAACCCTGAGTGGTTCATTTGGGGGGGTGGTGGTGGTGGTGTGTTTTTTCTAGCAGGGTGGAAAAAGGCCCTGTAATTATCATGGCTTTTCTCAGTGCTTTGAGGAGCCTGGAGTAAACTTGGCCATTAAAACCTTGTACCTCCATCCACAGCAAGATGATTTCTGTCTAAAACTTATCTCCCTCACAATGGTTTGAAGATTAAATCCCAGCTCATTTGCAGGGTGTGGGCAGGAATGGGAAAAGCTGGGCTTAAACCAGCCAAGTCCACAACTGCCACACAGCCAGGATGCAAGTTTTCAGTCGTAATGAGAAATCACGTTTACTGTTGAAGAGACTGATTACCACGGGCACTGTTACACTCACAAGCTGAGCTAGATAACACCAATATTAGACAGAGCAGCTGTCTGCTCTCCAAGAAACCAGTTGCACACAGAGCTCTGCTGCTCCAACTTGGTTTCTTTGAAAAATTACCTTTTTTTAAGGGAATTAGCAGAGAAAATGAATGTGTGCAGCTACTACAGGCCCTGCTCCTGCAAGGAGAAAGGTTTCCATCACATATGAACAGCCCTGCTGTAGCTACCTGAGGAGTCTTCTTGAAGCCTCCACAGCACAGCAGGACCTGCAGATCCTAATGCAAGACTAAACCCAATGGCATGCTGGATTATAACTGCAGAACAGAGTGACTTTGGAAAATAGGATACCATCCCAGTGCTTCTCCACTGGGTTGTCTGCAGTACTGTGGCTGAAGTAATAGTTCTCTTTAGAGTTTTGGGGTTCTTTTTGCACATTTTGGGGAGATGCATTCCCTGGCACCAGGAATAAGCCAGTCCCCAAAACAGCCCTGGGACAACACTAGGATTACAGACGGCAACAGTAGGAAAAGGAGATTCAAAACCAGGTGAAGGATTCCTATGCTCTTTTCTACCAAAAAGATCACATTTTTATGTAAGACTAAATCATCAATTCTCCCAGAGACCATCAGGCATGTTAAAAGTCACAATGAACCATTACAACTCAATCTAACCACAACCCAAGGGGAGCTGAAGCTGCAAAGCTGTCCCCTGGAACACTGCAGAGCACCGAGAGCCACGCGCCGCTGGGGTACTCACTCCATCCGCTCCCGTAGGAATCTGCCCGTTGACGTTGAGGGTTCGGAATGGGGAGTGAGTGGACAAACGTTTGTCCCATTCACTCGGCCGAGGCTCCGGGACGGACTCCATGAAGTTCTTCTTCAACTCACTGATGTTGGCGTGATGCTTCTTTATTTCTTCCTGGGTCTTATCTAGATCCTATTAGTGAGGGGACAGGACAGATGAAGAGACATGGAGGTGACACCAGCACTTGCCTAAGCTGCTGCTTAGCAAAGCTGCGCTCAGCAGAGGTACTGCCGACTTCCAGCAGTTGCAAACACACAACGGGAGCATCCTCTCTCCTCTTTCCTCTTGTATTAACTGCGATAAACTCAACCCACCAAACCCGATGGCAGCTGAGGTGTAACCTCGTGGGGTTTCCCCATATGGGATTGGGTTTAAGACTATGTTTGGGTTGTTTAATTTAATGCCTTAAAATCGGGTGGGTTTGCTTCCTTTCCCCTCTACTAGTCTGAATATTCACAGCTACAAACACAACTGATGTTTAAAGGAAATGTTTGCCCAATTTTCTTTATTCCCTTCAGAGCTATTTCTCTTTCATCCTACCAGGAATTACCTCTGGACCCAGAATACCCTCACTACCTTTCCACCCCCCTCTCATCTCATCCCTCCATAAGCTACCACAAGGGGTTTTAGACACGTGACATGGAGATGATGTCCCTTTACAAATCAATCTGAGAATCTGCTTTATGCTGCATCAATTGAGAAACTCCTCCTAAAATGCTTCACCTGGACAAAGCCAACTTTCTGCTCTGTGATGCCAGTTTACAGCATAAATGCACAGACTTTAAGGCAAGTCAGCTCTCTTCCTCCTGTTTAAAACCAGCTTTTGCCTTGCAAACAAACCAGAGGTTGTTGAAAGCGAAGCTTTCGCTGAAAATAGGCAGAAGCCAAACAACTTTTCTGGACAGTGCTGAAAAGCAGCTTAGAAAGGGAGAAATTAAGGTCAGTAAAAGCATCACTGGGGAATTTCACTACTTTTCTGCTTTGAGCTGTTACTCGGCCCATGGAGTTTAGAAGATGGGAGAGTAAATGCATCCCTCTAGGAGGGTTTCCCACCAAATACCTGCAGCTTGGACATTTGCTCTTTCTGGCATGGTTCTGAGGGGTAAAGAACCAGTTTGGGATGGATCCTGGCTCAAAGCACAGGGCAAGTGCCTGCTGGATAGCAAAAATGAAAACAGAAAGGCAGAAATGAGTCTGCTGAGGACTCCAGGGTAAAGGCCTGCTGGGTCTAGGAGCCCTACAATCCTGCTTTACAGAAGAAAGACCACCTTGGCCATCCACCACTGTGTAAGAGGTGGTCCTGGGAGGGTTTGCTGAAGCCATGAGGAGCTCCATGGAGCCACAATGGGTCTTGAAAGCATCTTGAGGAACAAGCTCAGGAAGCGATAACTGCTTTCCCTCCAGCTCTGTAAGAACATGGGCTATCGACCACAGAGCTTTCAATAAAAACAAGTGGCAGCTTTGGGAGGATAATGTCTGCTGGGAAAACATCTCATCTGCCCAGTGCATGGAGTAAAAAGAACACAAGGAATAAAGGGGGTGAGCTGCTGGGGTCTAGGGAGGGCTGGAGCACCTACAACAGAACCGATGGGAAGGGCAGTGGAGAGGGAACAGGCTGAATGCCAGCACCAAGTATTGCAGTGACAAAAGGGGGAAATTGGGAAAAAGGGGTTTGGAAGCAATGAAAAAGCTCTGATTTGGGCTGGGGAGAGGGAGCTGTTTGAGTTGGGTGGTAGAAAGTGACAGGCACGGTACCCACAGCATCCCAGTGCCCATTGTGCTGCAGCCCCTTCGCTCATGGCCAAAAGCTTGGGTTACAGCAGTCCAAAAATAGGAGAAAAAAGAAAAATCCCACCCAAAAGCTGCACAACTTTCCAGATTCTGGTTAGGAGAAGGCGTTGGTACACTTCTCTTTCAAGAGATACCAACAGGGAAACCCTACCAGCTGCTGGTGCTGCAAGTTGGAGTAGAAACATGTAACACAGGAACAGAGTATCAGAAGCCACAAACATCTCCCATAACACGGTGTATTAAAGAAAAGAAAATATATGATTGGCCTGGTCTGTTCTGAGACTGTGCTTGGGTGAAACCAAAGGTAAAAGCTCCCAAACAGAAGGGAAAAGTTGTCTGAGGAGGGATGAGGGCTCCCAAAGCGAAGGGAAGAGCTGTCTGTGGAGGGATAAAACAGCATCTTGCCTGCTCACAAGGCACTCACAGTACACTAAGCCCCTGTGTCAGCTCCAAGGGGACGTGGTGCTGATGCAGGATGGGGCCCAAGGGAGTGTTAAGATGCCACAAGGCAAGCGCTGCGAGAAGGGCTGCAGTGCCATCAGCAATGTCCAAAGGGAAGACTCGCTCCGGTCGGAAGCAACATGAACATCACAGTGGCCTGAACCCCACAGAGGTGCCAATTTCACCTCCAGCTTATCCTGAGGTTTGTATTCTCACAGATTGTCTCTTCCCCCTGGAAACTCATTTATCCCAAGCAAGGAGAAACTTGTCCATGAGCCACCCACCCTAGGACTGGTACCACTGTGAGCACCCAGCGGGTCCAAGAGCAGACCTGAGCACGCAGCTCTGCCAATCATATATTTTGGGTAAGTATGAGAGAATGAAAGTCAGAAGAGGTAGAAGGCAGAACGCCTGCACGCCAGCAGGCTTACCGTCACCATGCAAAAAGCCTCTTTCAAAACAACCCCAAAAGGTTTTTCATGCAAGAGCATGCAAAAAGAAAGGCAGCAGCAGAAGAGGAAGAAACAGGTTCAGCGCAGATGCAGGTCTAGGCAAACGCAACTGAAAAAAGCTTCAAGTTCATACAAACCTCCAACATTAAATTGCTATGCCTGATATAAATGTTTTCACCATCTAGCCTCTTTGATCTCTTCTGTGAAAATGAAAGAAAAGGGGGGAACAGAACAAACAAACAAAAAGCACAACAAATTAAAACGTTGTTCTGGCGGGCTCGCTATATTGGCAACTTAAAACGTGAACTGAAGGTGGGGAGCGCAGCGCTGAGCGTGGGGGCACCTCCACCAGCAATGGGGGGGGTCCTGCTCATGGACAATAGGGACATGGAATGAGTCTGTTAAAGAGACAGCTCCCAGGGGGCTCTTGGCTTTCGCCTTCATTTGTAGTGCTCACCACAAAGGGACAGGTCACAGGTTTGCTGGGGGAGCTTCACACATCCCTCAGAGCACTGAATGCGCACCCTGGTGTATGAGGTGTAACCTTTACATGGCCTCAATGTGTAAAGCAACTATGCCTTAGCCACCTTTCCCATCTTGGGTATGTCCCCTGTTACTTAAGAAGCATTTTTAATTGCAGTTCCTGCAATGCACACTTACAGTTTCTTTGGTTTCTACCTGAATTTGCTACAGAGAAGGTAAATTTTATTGATCAACCCAAGAGTGATTCTCTTGAACATTCAACATGCATCATTTTAGCAATCAGACTGTCAATGGGACAAAAAGCTATTGATTTTAAAATCAAATGTTTGATTCAAGGCCAGGTTGGACACAGGGGCTTGGAGCAAGCTGCTCCAGTGGAAGGGGTCCCTGCCCCTGGCAGGAGGTTGGAACTGGGGGAGCTTTAAGGTCCCTTCCAACCCAACCCATTCCATGATTCCATGATAGTTGCAGTTTAATAAAACAACAACTAAACCCCAACCCAAAGCTCATGAAGAAAGTGGAGCACTGTCTTTTTAAACAGGTTACGGATGCATGAATGAGATGGCAAATTCGTTTGGAGAGAGGGTAGAACTGCTAACCTTCCTCATCCTTATCAGCTCTTCCTCTTTCTCTGCAGGCTGCTGCTGGTGGGCAGTGATAAGGGAGAAAAAAAAGAGTTGTTGGTTTATTTAACTCTGTTGAACCTCACTGTTTAACCTTAAAAATAACATGTGAGCAACCTAACTGTTGTTCTTAGCACAAACCTGGGGCTGGGCACCATTCGTGGTGGGTACTGTGACCTCAGTGTGTGTTTTCCTCACCTACATGTGAGAAATAAATTGGTAAAAACATTCCTTGTTAGTCGAGTTGTTTCAAGAGCCCCTTTAGTTTCAAACCACATGAAGCTGGTTTTGAAACTGGTGAACATGCAAAAACCACCATGCAGCTCTCCGGAAGGAGTTAATGACACCACAGCTCTGTTAGTTACCAGCACATCTACAGTAATTCCTATCTGCATTGGGAACCAGTGCTCTCCAGTGCTTCCCAAGAAGGGCTTCCCATTTGCATGACAGCTTTGCCAGGCAATGTTTTCCAAGTTCACTTGCAGCTGGATCTCCCAGTGGAATCCACATCAAAAGCGACATGCTCAAGTCAACAGAGAACTTCTCAAAACCAGAGCTTTATTCGCTATGCACAGGTTAGGATGTTCACAGTCAGTCAGAAAAGACTATGGACAAAATCAAGCCTAACATCACAAACTCAGCTCTTTTATGGGCCATAAGGAGGGAGCCAAGTGTCTTAACACTTTAAGGGAAGTGTTTTAGGGAAGCTGGATTGCCAAATCCTCTGCAGGCGAACGCAGAGTAACGTCGGTGGGTGCTAAAAGTGATGCAGCTACTTTGAGAAACAGGGTAAATTTGGCACGTTCAAATCCCCAGTTTCCTCCCACATCTCCATTCCAAGAAAAAATAAACCCAATGTTTAAGGATTTAGGGGAAAAACTCTGTAATAAGTGAGGTGGGATGAATCAAATAGACTTGCTCTGTTTCATACCGGGAGGTGAGCAACAGTGTAGGAACAGCATTGCAGGATGTGCCACGAGGCACACTGACAGTGCCAGTATGGAGATCCCATCAGCATTTCCATTTAAGAATCACTGGTCACAATGATCCATGACATTTTTGGAACCAACTGTCCTTTCTACACCTCCATCTCCTTAATGAACAGTGATTAATCACCTTAATCAACTGGAGCATGTGATACAAGACCCACTGTGGGATAGCTTATAGCAAACTGTGGCTCCAGTAGCGCTGAGAACAGCTCCATATGGCAATATTCTATCTCAAGGTGTCCACCTCTGCTGCAACACTGGAAGGTTTCAGTCAATCAGATTAGCAGAATATCAAGGATACTGTAATAGGGACAATAATTGTGCATATTCTTTTGACTTTGGAGAACACCACACATGGATCAACCCCAGCAGAGGACTCAGTTGTAGAAAGATCAGTGTTTAAATAGATGTGCTTTAAACAGTAAACCCCCCCAGGGCCTCAATAGTGCCATTCACAAGGGAAGTTTCAGTTCAGTTTGCAGGAAGGTACTCACAGCTCTCCCACAGAAAGCCTATCAATGTGAAAAACATCTGCACCCAGGCACTGGGCTGGGACCAGATCCATATCACCCATTTCACTGGAATTGCCTCCTGCTGTCATACCAGGAATCAGAGGGAGCCTGGCGATGGGTGAGCCCTAAATGCAAGTCCCAGGAACTCGTGTGCAATTCTTGCCAGTTTTTTTTAAAGCAAGTTGCATTTGGTTTGCCTGCAACCACCAAAACCCAGCTGCCCTGGACCTCCTCCTTCAGGGATGGGGTTTCCCTGGGATCCAGATCCCTGCCCCTCAATCCCACCTGATGGGTGAGGGATAAACCCTCTGGGGTGGCTTTTAGAGCCAGTGCTCCATCCGAGCACAAGTGCAGTCTCTTCCAAGGACACACTGGTGTGACCTACCTTTGATGCATCAGCTGGCTCTGGCTTGGCTTTCTCTGCTGGGATTTCTTCACGTCTCACATCAGGTTTTGCTGCTTCTTTCTCTACTTTATGGGCAGCAGACACATCCTTCACGTCGGGCTTCACTGGGGCTGGTTCTACAGCGTGGGTCTGAGCGATGGCCGGGGCAGAGGTGGGACGGGGACTCCTCTCAGGGGTTATCACAGCTGCTGCTGAGCATATGGAGAGACAGACAGGGATGAAGTTCACAACGGGAAACGTTGCCAAAGTGCAGGCAAAGTCTTTCCAAATTACAGTGCTGATGTTCAAAAAGAAAGGGAGGAGGAAAAAGGAAAAAGAAATCAAGATGCTGAGCAAAGCAGCTTGTGCATTTAGTATGGGAAAAGTTGAGATTATTTTCCTTATGGCTGAAATCATATCGAATCCCACAACAGATGGTTTCCAAAAAGCAAGCTTGCACTCTGCAGAGAAGCCACACCAGAAAGGTGAATCTATGTGTGACACTGTGCCATCGGTTTCTGGGTCCTTCACACACCACTGACACAGAATCCGCTCCCAGTGCAATCATTAAAATGGAACCACTTTGAGCTGGGGTGAGTTCTTGAAGCATTGGCATCTCCTCAACCAGGAACGGATGGTTTCTGGAAGGGCAACACAGGCTTTCCCCCACCTTCCCCATCTTTTCAGCAATTCAAAGGAAAGAACAATCAAGGACTGCTCTATAAACCTTCACAGCAACTTCCAGGTGGGTTTCAAAGCAGGCTGGGGCTGCGTGTCTGAGATGGGTATCTCCTGCTTCAGCCCAGAGCAACACTGCGAGAAGATACCCATCATCTCCAGATCAGTGACAGTGCAGAAATGAATAGCATGCTGCCAAAACCCATCTTCCTGAGGGATGAGAGTCTTCAATACAAGCACTTGGTACACCCAAAATCAACTGCCTTCTCCTTTCCTCCCATTCCTGATTTCCCAGTCAGTTCCCAACCCCTGAAAAGTCTGACACCTCCAAAATGTTCAAGCCTGTGTGACAAAGCAAGCCCCAGCTACTTCACTGTGTGTACCTATAGATGCAATGAGCTTATTGAGTTCTCCTGATGTTGGTTTTCGTGGCCATTCCACTAAAAATACACCTGAATTACCTGAATCCATTCATAGACTCACAGAGTGGTTTGGGTTGGGAAAAGAAAACCCAAACCACTGCTGCCATCTCCATTATCTCCCCTGCTCTTCAGCACAGCAGTTCATTTCTGTGAGCCAGACATGGTGTTATCCTTTCAGATGGACATTGGGTGCTGTGTCCTGGTGTATTTATGCCACAGAAGCAGTGACAGCCACTGGGGAGGTTGTATGGAGGGGTGGTGAGGTGGCAGGGACAGCCGAGACAATGAGGATGCTGGGTGTGCAAAGCCATCATGGTGGTACCTGACTCCTTTGGGACCAGCTCTAGTTCTCTCATCACCAGCATTTTTTCTTCTTCCTCCTCTTCAATTGGGCTTATCTCAACAATGCCAAGAGCATGTTTGGCTAAAAGAATTATGGATGTGTTAAAAAGCCACCTCAAAGATGAAGCAGCAAAGGCAATGCTGCCACCAATAAATCCACGCAGCCACCTCTCCTGCTTCTCTCAGTGCTCAGAAGCATCAAGACACACAGGAAAGACACCCACAGGTACCAAGCTTTTCCTTTGCCATCTAGTGATGAGTTGTGTACTGTTCAGAACTGTGTTACTGCAGTTACATTTTCATGATGAACCACCTTTGGCTATTTTGACACATGACAATTTAAACCCACCGCTCCAAACTACGAGATATAAAATATCAACCATCGATGTCCCGGCCAAGGAAATGGTCCCTACTGGGAACAGAAGTGTTAAGAGGAGGAAAAAGTGCTGGAGGTGAATGCGAGGCAGAGGCAGCTGAGGCAGGAGATGCCTGGATGTGCTCAGGTCTGATACAGGCTGATGTCCACTCTGCTGCAGCCCGTTCCACGAATACCCTAGAGGGGAAGCACAGGGGCTGGTTTTGTGTTTTTCATGATCAAATGAAGAGGTTAAGTTCCCAGTTAGCTCCTCCATGGCTTCAGTCTCCTCCTCCTGCAATGAACTCTGCAATCAGTTCTGTGTTTAATTATGATGAGGGTGCATCTGTCTGCAGCATTAAAGCTGCTCGGAAATCCCACCCTGAGCAGGGAAGAAGCAGGTTCCCTAGCAAATAAACAGAGCAAAGTGTGGGTGACCTCCAGCATCCTGGAGCACACAACCTGATGTTCAGGCACTGCATGTTCCTATAGCTCAGAGGAATGCACCTTTCCAGAAGGGACAGTGACAGAGGAATGTTAAGAGGCCACTGCACGCTCAACTCGGCACACAGGCACACAGCCAAGCCACGGCACAGCACCTCAGGCACACGCCGATAAAGCAGCACTCATGTATTACAGCACGCTTGCAAAGCTGGCTGTGATTTTAATGGCAATGAACACCACCACAAACAAGGTAACCTCCATCCTACAGCACTGCACCACATCAACCCAGCAGGTCACAGCATGGGCATCACCCTGATACCAAATGCCACTGTGGCTGTACCTGACCACGTCCGCAATGGCTCTGGTGACTTTGGCTCGGACACAGGGACCTTAACCACCACTACCTTGTCCTCCTTCTCCTCCTCCTCTGCAATGGGCTTCATTTGGAAAGGTTCAAGTGCATATTTGGCTAGAAAGATGTTTGCATGTGTTAATGGAGTGGCTGGAGAACTGCAAAGACACACGACAGGCACCACAGCAGAGGAAAGAGCAAGAGGAGATCCCACTCCAAGGCAGTGGCAGAGAACAGCAAGGATGTTTCTAAACCAGGCAGCTTGGTAATTATTTTCCATCACACCACTGCTATCAGTCCTTGTAGCGCTGCCAGACACAGGCCCAGGATGTGGGATGACTGGGGAAATGAACAACACTGTTGTAAGCTTTGCAGGCTTCTTGCCCAGGCAGGGATACGTGGGGACACCTGATGGCTCTGGAATGTTGTGCTCTGCCTGCAGTGGGGAGATGCAGGTGCTGGCTGCTAGTATAGAATCATACAATCACAGCATGGTTTGGGCTGAAGGGACCTTAAGGCTCCTCCAGCTCCAACCCCTGCCACAGGCAGGGACCCCTTCCACTGGAGCAGCTTGCTCCAAGCCCCTGTGTCCAACCTGGCCTTGAGCACTGCCAGGGATGGGGCAGCCACAGCTTCTCTGGGCACCCTGTGCCAGCGCCTCAGCACCCTCACAGGGAAGAGCTTCTGCCTAAGAGCTCAGCTCAGTCTCCCCTCGGGCAGGTTCAAGCCATTCCCCTTGGCCTGTCCCTACAGGCCCTTGTCCCAAGCCCCTCTCCAGGTTTCCTGCAGCCTCTTTAGGCACTGGAGCTGCTCTAAGGTCTCCCCTTCAGGAGCCTTCTCTTCTCCAGGCTGCCCCAGCCCAGCTCTCTCAGCCTGGCTCCAGAGCAGAGCTGCTCCAGCCCTCGCAGCATCTCCAAAGCCTTTCTCTGGACTCACTCTAACACCCAGTTTCCTCTAGATAAAAACCTATACAAAACCGAGCAGCTTTAACTAAATGTACTTCAAATCTAAACGTTAGGAACACAGAGCCACCTTCCCATGTGCAGAATTATCTCCAGCCCTCAAGCACCACAGGCTTTTGCTATGTAAGTGATGAAGACTGCAAGCATTTGACAACACCGCTGCTGTGATACACTTATTAGTAGTCAAATATTCTGTTGTACTTACATGCCTCTTCAGGGCATTAATATTTATTAGTATTATTTATCTTAAGAGAAATATAAGCTCCAGGTAGCAAAATGGGTGGCATTTCTCAAAGCCCAAAGAAAACCCATTGGAAAATGGCAAACTGGTCCCAGGATGAAGGATTTCAGAAGCTTTACAAGAAGTTTCAAGGTCAAACTTTCACGTTTTCTAATCCACATTTACAAAGCCACCCAAATTTAACAAGGAGACAGTCCTCAAGGGCCAGCACGGCCTCAACTTTTCCCCATTTCCCCCTGGAATTACAGCCTAATGAGGTGCAAGGCAGAGATTTAATGAGTCTCCAGAGCCAGGGCTCTGCTGGGCTCTCTGTCCTCTGACTGCAAATCTCTTCTTGCAAAGGAATGGGAAAAGAAAGCCACCAGATTAGGTGATACTTTGAGTTGTCAGGAACAAGCATGTAAAGGATAGGAAAGGTGCTGCAGAGAGTTGTAGCCACCACCACCACAGCTATACCTGGCTTCTCTCGGATCTGATCCACAGGTTTTGGTTCAGGAACCTCAACCACCACCACCTCCTCCTGCTTCTCTTCCTCTATGGCTCTGAACTCAACTTTCTGAGTCGCACGTTTAGCTGAAGAAATGGGGCACATGTTAAGGACTGCCCACACAGCAGATGCAAACAGGCTGCAGACTTCAATGGGGACACAAGCATCACATTCACAGGCTGCTCTTTTCGAAGCTCTGGCATTCAGGTGTGGGATTGCAGCATGGATTCCTCTATACATCTAGGGTTATACATGTCCACAGGGCATGGCCAAGGGGCAACAACACTGCTGGTCCTTTTGCCCCTGTGCATCATGCCTGGGTAACCTCACACACGCAGAGTGCAGTGAGCTGGCATCTTGCTTTGCTGAGGTACAGAGCTCAAGCCAAGCAACCCTTCCCCTCCCAGCTCCGAGCCATGAAGCCCAGGCTCGGGTGTCACTGAGCCCTGTAAACCCATGTCAGGAGCAGGGGCAGCCTGGCTGCTGCTGGCCACAGGATGCTGGGGCAGCCCTGCTCCCTCCCAGGCTGCAGCATGAGCGCAGGGCTCAAAGCAACGCTGCTCCTGCTCTGTCAGGTGCTCTCGGGGCAAAGGGATGCTCCCCTTTCCCTGGATCCTGATTTTACGAGCACCTTACAATCCAGATCACCTCCACTGGCCTGCTGCTATCTGGCTCTTTTAAAAACATCAGGGATGAGCCCACTTGACTGAGAGGCCACAAGCTTCAGCATGAGCATCATTTAACAGTGGAAAAGTTTCAGACAGTTCTGGCAAGAAAAACTATGTAATTTCAGCAGCTCAACAAACCCTAGAACAGCTCAATTCCCGATTCACTAACAGGAAAATGCATTGAGATGGAACAAGGAAATATCTTTACAAGCAGAACTTTGCCATGAGCCTTCAACACCCTCCCACATCCTTTTTGTCAGTCAGTTCTCACTGGTGCTACTAGCAGTGTGCGTTTTAGGTCCAGGTCTCGTAGTAAAGCGAGATGTTATGGGTCGGGGTTTCTTTAAAGCAGGGAATTGAGGTGGTACTGAAGGAGCATTTCAGCATCCTACTGAATGCAGGCATGGAGGGGGAAGAGCACCACACTCACCTCCATCCAGGCTCCTGGATGCTCGCTTACTTGCCGTGCGCTCAAACTGAGGAGCAGGGCGGTCGATGAGGGCACTCGCCTGCCTTGTCTGCGCCTGTGTTCGCCCGCTGTAGCGGAACTTGGAGCCCAGCGCCAGGAACCTGCTCTTTGGGATGGCCTCAGTGGAAGTCAGCCTGGAAACCAAGCACACGGGTTAGAAACCAGGCCTGCAGGTGCAGGAAGCAGCAGGGGAAGAGAAATTCAAATGCAAATTGGTCTGCTGCATTCACTTGACTATCAAAACAATGTGCATGAGCAATAACTCCACATCTGCATGAGACAGAAGATCTCTGCCTTATCACAGAGTCATGGAATGGGTTGGGTTGGAAGGGACCTTAAAGCTCCTCCAGCTCCAACCCCTGCCACGCGCAGGGACACCTTCCACTAGAGCAGCTTGCTCCAAACCCCTGTGTCCAACCTGGCCTTGGTGTTGATGTGGTTAACATCTGTCTACTACCTAATCTCAATCCCCCTTCTGTCAGGTTCAAGCCATTCCCCTTGGCCTGGCCCTACAGGCCCTTGTCCCAAGCCCCTCTCCAGGTTTCCTGCAGCCCCTTTAGGCACTGGAGCTGCTCTAAGGTCTCCCCTTAAGGAGCTTTCTCTAGGCAGCCCAGGACACAGTTATTCTTATACATCTTATGAAGCTGCCTAGAAATCCATTGCAATGTAGGTACTTAATGTCTCTCAAGCATTTCACTCGAGATTTTGTGAAGCCCTAAGGACCTCAGAAGGAGTGTTCATTTTCATCACCTAATCTAAAGCATCAGTTGGTCAAGGTGAGCCCACCACTCAAAACCCACCTGAAAAACGTGTGATGTTCAACACAGACTTTCCACAGCTTCTTCGCTGCCCGGTAACTTGGGAGCTTGAACCCAATTGTACTTTCATACTGTTCTTGCTGTAGAAAACAAATATTAGTTAGAAATGTCACAGGAGTCCAGTCCCCAGCCCATCCTCCCATTTTGCTGCAGCACAAAGTGCTGGTCTAGCCCAAGAGCAGCTGAACTCACTCCACAATGTGAGGGAGGAGGTCAGGTGTGACCAAAGGCCACAAACTTGGCCACAAGCCTGAGCATCTCTCTTGATGCACAGGGATTTGCAGAGTCATGTGCTGTGGGTTTTGCAGCTATTCAGACTCATTTAACCCCCATCACACTGCCCAGCTGCAGGATGGGGTTGAACATTGAATTCCCTGCAAGGCTGGGTCATAGCAGTTGAAGCAGAAGGAGGAAGAAGAGGAGGAAAGAGGCAAAAATCCCATTGCAGCCTCTTTCTCCACTGTGTTTCCAGCGACCAGGCCGCTCCAAGGATCTCCCCCTTCATAAGAGGCAGCATCAGGGCAGCCTCCCCCTGCCTGCTGCAGGCTCAGTGCTAAGTATGGCTCTGTATCTGTAATTATTCTTTTGGTTGTAAACGAAAAGAGACCAAGAGCCTTCGTTAGCCCTGGTTCCAAGAACGGAGTGAGTCCTCTCCAGTCCCAGGAGTTTCCTCGGGATGCTGGGAATACCACGCGGTGCCAGGAGGTGGTGCTGGATGACACCTTGTTCAAACCGCCTCCCGCTGGTTTACAGCTCCAGCGAGGTCAGTGCTTTCTACCCGAGCTTAACACCAAGCCAGGCTCAGAAACCCGACAGAGGCTGAAAATGCTCCCTCAGAGAAGGGCTCCCTCCCTCCCCGCAGCACACACACACGGTGCGGGTAACCAGAAGGCAGATAAAGAAGAGCCGAGCACCAGGAAGTCAGAACTTGCCTCCCCTGGGCGAATCTTGATGAAGAAGCTGCTGCGCTTGTAGGAAATCTTGAGGACTTTGGGCCATGGGAAGCGGTTGATTCTCAGTTTGTCCTTGTAAACCAGAAGGCCGCTGGAACAGACTCCCAGAGTGATGTCCACTCCTTCCAAGTCCTGGGAAAGCAGATGAGGTTTAAGCAGTGTCAGTGTTACAAGTTTCAGGTCAATATTTGCCTTCGAATGAGCCCTTTGGTCTTCTGATGCCATCGCCCTGACTTCAGGTTCCAGCTCCCTTGCTTTTCCTTCACATTTCTCCTTCCAACCTCCTCCCTTCTGCTCCCTCCTGATGCTGTTTGCTCAAAGGGTTCATCTCGAGTCTGTCCTGCACTTCCCTGAGCACAGTGGCTCATGTTGCAGAGTCAGAGCTGTACATTCTAACAGCAAGGACCTGTCTACATCAGGAGCTTTGTAAAGCTTCCTGTAATATATAAGTAATAAGCAATCAGGAAGCATCGCTTCAAGAGCGCTTGAGGCACTCGTGTTGCAAGTCAGAGTTTCCCTACTTCCTCTTTCAAAAGGAGCCTCCTGGCATTGGCAAACTCGCTCCTGCAAGGGAAGGATGAGTCTAGTTACAAACTCCACAGGCAGGTGCACACACACTGATTCTCACCTTGGCTTGGTGAAGGTCGACTCCATACATAGACAGCTTTTTTGCATTCTCCAGGAACTCCAGGTCTGCTTGGGCTGGAGTCATGGATCTGGGGAAAGAAAGAAAGAGAAAGGGATTGGTACTTCCCTACCTGTTGCTTTTAGCAGGGGGCAGATCAGACTTCATGAAAGCATTCACTCGTTAGATTTTCTTTTGCTGTCAATACAGATTTGTGCCCAGATGTAGATATATAAATATAGATATTTATGTCTAGATTTAGGCCAGGCTGGACACAGGGGCTTGGAGCAAGCTGCTCTAGTGGAAGGTGTCCCTGCTCATGGCAGGGGGTTGGAGCTGGATGAGCTTTAAGGTCCCTTCAACCCAAACCAGGCTGGGATTCTGTGATGAACTATCAAATTATTGTGAAAGAACAAATTTCTGCTTTGAGCCATCCTCCTGAACCAGATGCACTTTATCCTGTGGCTGCACAGACACTGGAGAAGAAAGGGAGGAAGTGCAGCAAGAGGCACAAAACATGATTTAGTGGAGTAAGCATTGCAGGCAAAGTGTGGTGGGTCTGATGGATACCATCCTCCCACCCCTCCTGCCTCCAGACCTCCCAAACCCAGCTATTGTTCTCCAGACCCCAGGCTAGGACAGCTGAGACCCCTTCAGCAGTGATTCCTATGGGGCAGAGCAGATGAATGAGCAGTTTCTACGAGCAGATGGCGCCCTGTCTGCAGGAGGAGCAACACAATTTCACTTAACAGCAGCATCCTGCTAATGGAGGATTAGCAACGTTCGTGAAGTGCTCTTGTTAATAAGTTTCTGGGGTGCAAGGTACATCTAGCAGCTCTGCTGGGAGAGAATTCAGCTGTATCCACTTTGTTCTGTTCCCTGCTTTGACGTCTCCTTTACTGAGCACTCACATACATCCTTTGTGGGATGTAAAGAGAGGTTTTAGTGGTGGGAGACAGGGCAGGCAAAGACAAATGTAAGGACAATCCTCTAGGAAAGAGCTGGAGCAGTCGCCTGACATGTGCCTTGTGCTTTGCAGGTAAAGTAGCAAGAGATGGAGCATGGCTCAGTAGAGTTTCCCCACTGAAAACCCTCTGACAGTTTAATGTCCACAGAATACAGAGCAGAAATTACACAGGGTACATGTTGCTTCCTCCTGCACACTCTAGCAGATTAAATATAACTCCATCCTCTACCTTCAAGTATCCTTCTAATGAAGCCATGAATAATTCAGCAATGAGATCTGCCACTTCTAGCACAGCTAATGGCCTTTGACTCCAAGTCATGAAGCTTGTCAGCAGCCTAGGACTTATTTTCCCTCATTTCCTCTCCTCTCAGTGCAAATGGAGGGGAATCAATTGAAAGTATTGATCTGTGGGGTTGAGCAAGGTGTTAATTGTAGCTCTGGTCACAGCTGGAGGTACACGTCCACCCTTCCCTACTGCACTTGGGTTATTAGCTCCCATCTGCCTGCAAGCCGGTCTCATCTTCGCTCTGTTCTTGTTACTAGCACATCAACCAGCAGCTTTTCACAGCTCAAGAGGCTTAAGGTTGAAGGTTTTGGTATTACCAAGTGGTTATATGGGCTTTTCCCCCTCCCTAAAATCCAAATGTATCGCTTGGGAGGGTGCAGAAGCTGCTGCCCAGCCACTCTGCACAGCAGCACTGTGCACTTCTGCAACCTGAGCACTTGAGAGCATCTATGAAAATCAGCTCAAAACAAGATGAGGAAGAGGTCTGGTTATTGTCACCTTTTAATCTTGTACCAGGGGGGTCCCAGGAGTACGTGACCCCTATCTGAACAAGACACATCTGCTTGGGTCATGGCCATGCAGGCAAACACCCTGAGGTCAAGCTTAACCACAGGTTTCTACCTCCTGCATCACCTGGAATAATTCCATATTACAGAAGTTCTACTCATTAAATGTGGCACCAGAAAACCCCAAACCTGCTGTAGGCTACAGAGTGTGCACACAAAGAGATGAGATCTGCTCCAACCAGACTGCAACCCAAAAACTACATAAATCCCATAGCAAATATTAAAAGACAAAGGGAAGGTAAAACCAGCCAGACTTTTGTCTTTTCACATGAAATAAACCCCACTTTCATGGCTACACTGTTGAAGAGCACCTTACCTGTATGTTTTGTGAAGCTCCACAACCTTCTCCTCCAGCTCTTTTGTCTGGTTTGGGGCCAGTTTGAATTCAGTGATGTAATCTGGGCCGTGCAGGTCGGGATCGTAGTCTCCCAGCTCAGACTGGACCGTGTATGAACCCAGCAGAGCCAGAGTGGCAAAGGAACAGGGCAGCCGCCCCGTGAGGATGTCTTGTCTGAGCTGAAGACACAAGTAATACCTGGGGGAAAAGCAAAGTACTATTTACAGAGAACATAGAGAAACTTAAGGATCAAACAGAGCCCAACCTGGCCTTGAGCACTGCCAGGGATGGGGCAGCCACAGCTTCTCTGGGCACCCTCTGCCAGCGCCTCAGCACCCTCACAGGGAAGAGCTTCGCCTAAGAGCTCAGCGCAGTCTCCCCTCGGGCAGGTTCAAGCCATTCCCCTTGCCCTGTCCCTACAGGCCCTTGTCCCAAGCCCCTCTCCAGCTTTCCTGCAGCCCCTTTAGGCACTGGAGCTGCTCTAAGGTCTCCCCTTCAGGAGCCTTCTCTTCTCCAGGCTGCCCCAGCCCAGCTCTCTCAGCCTGGCTCCAGAGCAGAGCTGCTCCAGCCCCTGCAGCATCTCCATGGCCTCCTCTGCACTCACTCCAGCAGCTCCATGTCCTTCTTGTGCTGTTGCCCCAGAGCTGAATCAGGGCTGTAGGGGAGGATGCTGCCCAACATACTCCCAACGGATCTCCTTGCTGAGGGACAGAAGAGCACCCAAATGTTGACACTTTGTACCTGATATTCAGTGCTTTGCTGAGGGAACTCACCTGGTTATGTCCTCTGTCAGCTGCGCAGGGTCCGGAGGGTAGAACTTGACATTGAAAGTAAAATCCCAGGGGCCTCCTGCAATTACAAAGAAGAGCTTGAGAAGAATAAACACCCCACAACGGCTTTGTGACAGTCAGGGGTTACAGCAAAAGCTGGGAATATCCAGCTGTGAGACAGAACCAGCAGATCATTCCTTAGGTGCTGCTTAGCAGACAGTGTAAGATGCAATTTCATTTACAGGAGCTAAGATAGAAGCAGGAGAAAACAAAGCAGGGCAGGAAAATAGACATGGATAAACCACAGCTTGTGAAGAAAACCTCCATTCAGTGCTAAGAAGCTCAATTACTCGTGTAGTTTTGCATTGCTTGAAAAGAGGGATTCATGAAGTGAGGTCAGTGCTGTAAATACATGAGTTAGTACTGGTTTATCACTCACCCCAAGTTTCAAATGTCACCACCCTAAAGCACTGGGGTGGGCTCAGAGCACAGGTTAAACTGAGCACAATAAAACCATCAATCCCTGGATGAAACCAGCACTGAGACAGGAAGAGCTTTACAAGTCTAGACCAAAATGCTTTAATACAGCAAGTCTTGTATAAGCATTAAGTGGAGCAAGAATCCCCATAATCCCACCTAGAACTGGCATTATGGACAATCCCGGTGACTGGAGATCCTCTCATTTTCTTGGGAATAATCCCATTTACCCATGGAAAACAGTCCTGACCCATTAAGCACTCAAGAGTAATTCCCATAGTTCCAACTTCCCCCTGTAACACTTGCCCAACATAACATTTCTTTCAGCAAGAGGAGACATCCCTGTGCTTGACTCGCTCAGAGACTGATCCCAGTCTCAACCAGGGAAGAAGTGGGATGTAGCATTCATGGATTTGCATCTTATGCAATGCTACAACTGGATAAAACACAAGGCTTGTTGTTTTCATCACACACAGCTCAAACCAAGTTATGCCAAGAAGGTATTTTAGGTGCCAGAGGGTACCCAAACCAGCAGACGCTGATGTACACGTATTCATATATACAACATATACTGAAGTAAAATCAAGCTATTTGCCATTTAACCCACCTCAAGGGACCAGATTCCACAGGGAACTGGCTGCTCATTACACTTACTAACTGAATCCTACCTGCACAGCATGGCCAGAGAAGCTCCTGCCCCTTTACACACACCCTGCTGTCAACTCAAAGAGAAGCTAATGAAAGCAGAGGCTTCTACTCCACAGCCCTGCAGCACTTCCTCCCTCGTCTGTGCTTAAGGACACACTCTGTCCTGCACCCCTCCAAAAGCACCTATCTAACAGTACTGTACTGTCATAAACCCGGATTTTACTTTCATAAAGCAAGAGTTCACATTCATAAAACAATATTTTACTTCCATAAACCAGTCTTCTACTTTCAAAGGAGTCAGGTTTGCTCCTGAGAGAACACAAAAGCCTCTACAATTTATTTAACTTTGACACTGCTCTCATTATGAACTAATTTCAGTGTGAGCAGACCTTAAAATCCAGCTTTGGAGAGCATCTCTTTGCCCTGATACTACTCGAGCTATTTCTCATTCCAGTGCCCCTGTCTGGACCTCAAACCAGCCTCAGAGTCCCTCAAACCTTGCTACAGCACACAGCTTTCCTCAGGCTCTCCTGTGAGATTTGCACTGTTCCCACTGTACCTATTTTCCCATCCTCAAACAAGGAGCAGATCTCCTGTTTCAGCATTGCATGGTAGCAAGGACAGCATGCGTTTGTTCAGGGGGAACACCCCCCAAGCTGTGTTTTCCCAAGGAAATGACATCCTTCCCTAAATCTAGAGCATCACCAAGTACTTGGGAAGAAGGGAAGGGATGCACACACTGCTTGAAGTTGTGCTGATCCCTGCCAGACACCCTCACTTGAATTACCACCCCTCCTTAAGCCCCCTGAATGGCCCCTAAAGCCACACTTACTCAGGGAAGGAGGGAGGAACCACACACAGACACACCACACACTCCATCTACTTACCATGAACCTGTTTCTTTATTTCTTTGGCAGGATCCAGCCACGTCTGTAAGAGGATAAAAACATCCCCAGGTTAACAAATGTTCCAGAAACACCAGAGAAACCTGGAACCCCCTAAAAATACAGCAATGGGACATGAATGCAGCCATGGAAACTGGAGAGATGGGGTGTTTCTCACAGCTTTACCTCCAGCCTGTGGTCTTGGTGGGTGCATTTCCCACCCTTCATCTACCAGGTACTCATAGGGGAGGAAACAGGAAGAGGAGAAAACAAACAGGGCAGCATATCATAGAATGATAGGGTGTGGGTTGGAAAGGACCTGCCAACCTCCCTGCCATGGGCAGACACACCTCACACTAGACCATGTCACCCAAGGCTCTACCTTACCTGGCCTTGAGCACTGTCCTATCCCCACAGTCCCTGATGAAGAGCCCCTCTCCAGCATCCTTGTAGCCCCCTTCAGACACTGGAAGCTGCTCTGAGCTCTCCACGCAGCTTCTCTTCTCCAGGCTGAACAGCCCCAGTGTTCTCAGCCTGGCTCCATACAGGAGCTGCTCCAGCCCCTGCTCATTCCCGTGGCCTCCTCTGCTCTTGTTCCAACAGCTCCATGTCCTTCTGATGCTGAGGACACCAGAACTGCACACAGTGCTGCCAGTGGGGTCTGAAGAGAGCAGAGCAGAGGGGCAGGATCCCCTCCCTTCACCTTCTGCTCACGCTCCTTTTGATGCAGCCCAGGATACGGGTGGCTGCAAGCACACAGCCGCAGGTCGCAGCCACATCCAGCTATGAGGGGCACTTACACAATACTTGTGTTGGGTTTCTTCCTCCAGAACCTTTCAAAACAGGCCAAGAGGATGTGTGCATTCATCTTAAGCAACCTCCCTCCACACTTACCCCTTCAGAACACAGATTGCCGAGACTTCCTATCATTGGCCATGGTTTTTAACTGTAATACAAGTGGAAACATCCAACTGCTGAGCAAGGCTGGAATCTCTTCCAGGAGTGTGACACAAACTCCATCCCTTTTAAGTATGACTCAAGTTTCTTGTAATGCTCTCAGCTACAAACTTTAGAAATACATCCTTTCTCCCCCATCTCTGTCACTGGGGGCTTTGTGGGAGGTCAGAGCCTGCCCTGCAGAAGGGGACAGAATGGTGCTAACAGTGCTGTTGGAGAGCATACATTAAGCCACCCTCTTCATTTTCAAGCCACCCTCTTCATTTTCACAAGCCCTGAGCAGGATTTGGACACCCAGGTCTCCCAAGGTGAAGGAATTAACTCACTGAATCCCCCAAGCTAATCTCTTTTGACCAGAAGGATGTGTAACTTCACAGCAGCAATATTTAATCTTATCTTTTTACATGCTTGTCCCTCTAACCTATAAAACCGAGGCTATAAAACCCATTTCAAAGGCAGACACACCACTTGCTGTGGTTTTGTGGCCACTGTTTCAGGCAGAGGACCTCTAGTCCCAGGCTGGGGCCAGGACTGCTCATCACTGCCCACGGTGCAGTCGTGCATCCCCAGCACTCATCCTGCCCCAGCCAGCAGACAATGGTGGGCACAGCAATTAGCAGCACTTTCATCCACACTGAGAAATGAATGGCTGGAAACAATCCTCCCTTTCAGAGCAGGAAGAGCATCAAGCTCTTTTGGTGCTGACCAGCTGCTCTATCTGCTGTCTCACTCTCCTGTTCCCACTGTCACCCTCTGCTAGTTCCATGTGGGAAAATTCCTATCCTCAGGAAGGTTTATTCCATAAAAATCAAAGGGAAATGCCACATTCAACCCTTCCCTGTCCAGCAATACACACAAGCATCTCTGCTTTGCTCCACACAGCACTGAGGACAGAAGTTCATCTGTTGGGTTCACATTAAGATCAGTTTATAACCTTTTGTAAGATTATAGTGGAAGGTCTCCCTGCCCATGGCAGGGGGTTGGAACTGGAGGAGCTTTAAGGCCCTTTTCAAGCCAAACCACTCTGTGATTCTATGATCATTTCTACGTGTAAATCAGTAACTCACTGTCAGGTCCTATTTGAAGTTAAAGCAGGAGAGAGAGGGAGCTTCAGGTTTCAAAATGGTGTTTTCCCCCATCAGAGCACACCAGATTTCCATCAAGCAGCTTACCCTGCACTGGAGCTAAACCCACTCCCAGCAGCTTTACCCTCCTCAGCCCCTGAGTGATCCAGTGCACAGCACCAATGTGAGAAGCTGAGCTGATCCAAACCTTTTTCTCTCCATTGGATCTAAAAGGGCCCCACTGCCTCCCCCTGCAAGCTCCCAGAGGTCAAAAAAACAGGTCATATACATGGAAGGAAATCTGACATACAAGAAAATACCAGAGACAGTAAAACCAAACCCAAGAGAGAGCTCTGCCTGCCTCAGATAGTGATGGGGTGCTATTCTGCCTCTTCATTAACAACTCACTCTTGCATTTATGATGTATTTAATGCTAAATGTGTCAGTCACAGTAACCTGGCCCAGAAGGGATTCTGTAGGTGAAGCATGGGTATAGTCAGAACATGGGATCAACCTATCTAATCTAAAGGACATAAAAGGGTCCCTTCATTTCAGTTCAGCACACTTTAGGCTTCAGGAAACAGAGCTTGAGTAATTGCTTGAGTTAAAGCATAACCAAGGGTTTAACAGATAAGACACTGCTTGAGTCTAACCAAACAAAGACCTTACACTGAAACCATATGAGTAAGAGTTTTGGTATGGAGTCACACGTTCCTTTGCAGGGCAAAGCCTTGACTCAAATCTGCTCTGGGTGGCTCTGACCAAACCTTACCCATGCTGACAGCAGCGCCAGGGCAGCTTCACAAAGCAATGGCATCATTTTGCAGGCAGCTCATAGATAATGAATTTTCTCCAGGACAATGCAGGCCCATGTCACTTTTAACCTCAAATCCACACTCTTCTGTCATTTACTCACAACTTCCACCTCTGGGATAACCCCTTTTTGGGAGGACACCGAAAGGAGCTTTAAGAAGAGCTTATGCATCACCTCCTCTCCAAGGGAGAGGATCCTGTAAGGAGCTGAACCCACCCGGGCACAGAACACCACGCACCAGCAGCTGCTTACCCTGGAGGTTGGTGTGTCCCATATGGCCAAACCAAAGTAGTCTTCTTCCAGGAGATTGAGGTGGTCACAGACTTTCTTAAGGAGATCCTGCCCCTTGGCATGTTTCTGCAGACAGAGAGAAGACATTCTGTAGGATGGGCTGCTTTCTGCTGCCCTGGTTCATGGGCGAGGGGAGAGAGGGAATGTCATCAAACCACACTGGGCACTGTCAAGAAAGGAGTCCTGAGGAGCTCAAAATCAGATCTCCTGGTGGCTTCTGAGCAAGGACCCCTTATGAGAAAGAGCATCAGGCATAAAAACCAAAACCAGAGAAGCAACGAGAACTGCAGTGGGTCTCTGCTACCACCAGCTCCATGTCTGAAGCCCCCCCCCAAGCTGAGCTTCTCAACACAACCCACAAGGATTTGTATGGTTTTCCCCTTCCCAAGTATATCCCCCAGGCCCAGGCTACCACACAATGAGACGCTGATCAAAAGATGATCAAGGTGGAGTATGAAACTGCTGCTCCCTCCCACTGTAGAGTCTCCCATTTTGGAGGCAACCTGACATATAAGGCTCAGAGAAGAAAACAGCAGCTCAGAACCAAAGACCATCATTTCCATGGCCTTTCCATCAACCCCATCTGCTGCTGCTGACACCCAGCTTCTCCCCTTCTGCCTTATGCACAAAAAGCTGCTTAGCACACAAGTTCTTGCCTCCAGAAATACACTCTGAGCATTCCGAGCATCTCTTTTCTTCTTTCCAAACCCTGCAGAAGGGAACTGGCCCTCGGAACAGCCACGCTTTTAGTCCAAAAGCACGAAGGGAAACACCCCTAAGGCACAAAGCTATAGTAACCAGGAGCAGCTCATTCTATTGAAGGTTTTGCTGGGAAGAAAGTGCAGTTCCAGTGACGCAAACTGAGATTTACTGATGCTCCACTTGTGCCCACAGCTCTACTGTTAGGCCTATTTGCACAGCAACTGATCTTTGCCTACACTGCTCCAATTCCTTCTTGGTTTAAGTCTTAGTAAAGTCTCAACGTGATGGAGTAGGATTCTACCTGTGTTAAAGCTGAGGGTACTTGTCAAGACAACAGTGACTCACCGACAACAGCCCCTCTTAATGCCCACCATGACTCTCTGGACCCACAGAAAGAGACTTACAGCATCCTGCTCAAATCAGGACCAAAGATCCCACCATCACTCTCCCCCCAGCAATGTCCCTGCAGCCTGCCAGGATGTGAAGACACCAAACACACACAAAGCCCCAGCGAGGGTGATGCTGAGGGTGCCACCAGCATTCCAGGGAACACTTCCCTTCCAAGGGCTGCACACACAGCTCCTGGCTATGGGAAAGTGATCAGGGCAGCAACAGCAGCGGTGCTGCTACACAAAGGGCCAGCACTGACCTACTTGCCCAGGATCACCCAAGGTAACATCCCTGTGCCCACATCCCTCTCCTGGCCCATTGAGCCAACAGGACTGGGGAAAAACAAGCTGATGGAGTATGCCTGAATGGGAAGAACTGGATTATTAATATTCCAGACAAGTACTTTCATACTGAAATGGGGATTTCTGCTGGCTTTTTATTGCCCTGGCAGCAAGACAGCCCTGTGAGAGAACACACAAAGCAGAAGAAAAGCTCTCAGATGAAGGGGTTTGCAGTAAGTCACCATAATCACTTTAAATTGTTTACTGCAAACATATTCAAGTAAAGGCTAAACACTGCACATTGTTCTGCACATCCAGGCTCCTGGAGTTACATCAGCCAACAGCCTGATAAGCAAACCTTGGGTGAAGAAAAAAGCACAAGTCAAGCTGCCAACCCATTTCATTCAAAGGGACAAAAGGTATTTAGACAAGCCCAAACTAACACAAAAACCTCAACTCTAGTCCAGGATACAAATGAAAGGTGAACAGCAAGTAAGGTAATGTCCCCCCCTTTACACAGCAAGGCACCCTGGAAATGGTGGGATAATGAAAACAAGATTCCTGGGCACTAGAGAGTTTTACACCACTATAAGTTGTTCCAGCTCACAGCAAGACTGTTCTGCAGTACAGCCTGTCATGTAATTCACTGGCAGCAAATTAGGCTCTTATTAAATCGTGTTTGTGGTGATTTTTGCAGGGTAGGAGAAGGGAGAGGGAAAAGCAGAGAGGCAGAAACAAGCCTCTGAAGTACTTACATCCACGGCACACTCAAAAAGGGTGTCATCCAGCAAGACGACTTTGCAGTACATGTTTCTGTGTCTTTTTACTGCTTTCTGGGCAGCTTTCAAATCCTTGTCTGCTTTGGGGTCCGGAGTCTCTCGCTTGGGCTCTGGCTTGGTGCTCTCTTCCTTCCCTTCACCTCCTTCCTTGCCCCTGAGGTCTCTGGGGTCCAGGTCCTGGTCGTCCCTCCTCTCCTCCTGTGCAGGCTGAAACCCCACATCACCCAAGTTGTAAGTGAGAATTGTCAGTCCAAAAGAGCATCACATGAAATAAGCATTGCAAAGGTGCACGACAGGGCTGGGGTCTCATCCCACAGTTATCTGACTTCAATGTGTGAGCTGGGACCTGGAGCAGCAGCTTGGCTGGGCAAGTGAATGCTATTCCTTTTTAAAGCTTTTCAAGTCATTCCCAAGTCTTCACTTAATAAAGGATGTAATAAAATAGAAAAAGGGCTTGATTAGAGGAACCAAGGCAGATTACATCATGCACATCTTAACAGCAGCACCTTCTGGCCAGTTCTTCCCTGTGAGGGTGCTGAGGCGCTGGCACAGGGTGCCCAGAGAAGCTGTGGCTGCCCCATCCCTGGCAGTGTTCAAGGCCAGGTTGGACACAGGGGCTTGGAGCAAGCTGCTCCAGTGGAAGGGGTCCCTGCCCATGGCACGGGTTGGAACTGGATGAGCTTTAAGCTCCATTCTAACCCAAACCATTCTATGATTCTATGATCTGAGCTGACTGAGCAGCTCTGTGCTAGCAAAAAGGGAAGGCAGCCTTCGTGCCACCCTCCCTTTGCCTAACAAAGCACATTGTGAGTCAGTTTAATTCACTAAAATAGCAGCAAGAGCTGCAGTTTGGGGGCAGGAGGAGGAAGGAAGCTGCTTGGGGTTTTTTCACTGCCATTTCAGCAGGTTAAACGAGTTCACAGCAGCTCTGACAAGTGCTGGAAGTGACTCGCTGCAGCAGGAGCACGCAGCCATGGCACAGCAAGAGCAGAACTCTGCCTTCACAGCCCATCACATCCCATGAAATCAAACCCAGGCACAACTGTACCGGGGTATTTAAAACCTAAATAATGGCCACAAGCTGCTGACTTCTGTTCCAGCAGGGCTGGGACAATCGGGAGCAGGGAATCAGTCAAAGCCACTGTAATGCCCCTCGGTCAGCATTTATCAAACAGGCAGCACCTCTCCAGTGCTGTCACAGCACAAATATCTGCCGAGTGTCATGGTTCAAAAGCCACTGACGTCGAGCTGAAATAAGAGCTAAAAGGAAAAGCACCAATGCTTCATCTGAAGCAAACAGCCCATGGTGAAGGAAGGCCGTGGTGCACACTCCCATGTGCTCCGAAGCGGAAAATCCAAGTTTAAGAGAGAAAGAAATGAGGCATTTCCTCTTCAAACACAATTCTGGGCTGATATTGCCTGAAAATCTCCAGCTCCTCCCCACTGTGCTAATGCCACCCAAGCCAGAGGTACAAAACAAGAGCAGGGATCAGCCCATGGCCTTCCCAGGCTCGGAGATTTGGGCAAAGAAAAAGGTGTTACCTGCTACTTCCCCTCCAGCTTTGTCATTTTAAGGAGGTGGATTTACAGCTACAGCTGGCAGTGCTCTAACTTGTCCCATGTTGCTCCAGAGTTTGCAGATACGGTTCGATGTGGCTCTGGGAAACCTGGTCTAGTGGAAGATGTCTCTGCACATTGCAGGGGGGTTGGATGAGATGAGCCTGGAAGGTCCCTTCCAACCCAAACTGTCCTGTGATGCTGTGCAAGATCTCTTTGGGGCCTGTTCAACATGTAAGGGTTTCACCACCAACATGCATGGTTTCACCACCAACAGGCCATGACTCCAGCAACACAGAGGTTGGTTGGGTTTAAGAAACCCCTGTGTGATGAGAAGGGACACCCGCCTTTCTCCAACTCCAGAGAATCATATTAAGGAACAGCAGAGCTGAAACTACCCACGGAGCAAGCCAGGACAGGCAATACCTCCAGGTCAATAACTACCTGCACTTTATCTCTCCCTCTATGGGGCTCTGCCTCAGTTTCTACCGTGCTTTAAAAACCTTACACAAAGTGAGCCTGGCTGTAAAGAGCAGCCATCAGACAGCTCCGAGCAGCTGGGCTCAGCCCACGTGCTCTGCAGAAACCCCTGTCTACGTGATGCATAAGCAGAAAATACTTGTATATGGCAGGCTCAGCACCAGCCTGGGTTGAGCAGATGACCAAGGCATCATCCCCACCATGCTTGTAGTACTTGAAGATGGAAAAACCCTCTCCTAAATCCACATCCTCTTGCAATCTCCTCTCATGCCACAGACCTGCCTTTCCCCTGCATCGCCAAGGACATCCCAATGAACAAGCTCTGTCATGAATGATGAACCCTAGCTCTGATGCAACCTCCCGTCCCTTATCAGAGTGGAGTCAGCATGGGGCATTTTAAATTCTGCTGTGAAGTGTGAGCACAATTTCAGGAGCAGGTACTTTGCAGGACAGTCTGACAGAGGAATTCAAGAGTGGGAAGCACATGATACAATGCAGGGAGCTCACAAGAGCCTTTCTAGCATCACATGAGCTTTTCTGACCAAGGTTTCCATCCTAGGATACCAAGTTTTTACAGTTTTGGCTAAAAAGACACATTTTCCAGCCCAGGAGGGAGCACAGCACACGGAGCAGTGTTTTACCTGTGTTTCAGCACTGCTTAAGGAATGGAGATCTAGCGATGGATCGGTTTTGAGCTCAGGCTCAGGAGCTGCAATCGGGGCTTTCACCAGGATGTCTTCATCAGGGCTGGCTCCTAATGCGGGGTCTTTCTGGTCACCTCCTGCCTCTTTAGGAGCATCACTGTCTTTGTCCTCCTCGGACACCTGAGACTTGGGCCTCCTGAGAAAGGATGAGAAGAGGCGGGAGAGGCCGCGGCCCTCGGAGGTGCGGCGCTCCTTCTTGCTCTGCTCCTCGGGTGCGGGAGTGTCGCCGTTGGAGGCCTTCTGCTTCAGCCCCAGCACAGGCTGTCCCTCCTCTAGGCCAGCCTCTTGCTTCTGTGTTTCAGCAGCTCCTTCCTCCTCCTTGCCTTGCTGCTGCTCCGAGCTGTCCGCCTCCGCCGCTGGGCTCTTCTCTGTTGTCATGATGATGCTGTAAGAGAGGTGCAAATGGCTCGGTCAAGAGCTTTCCCCTATTAGGTCCACATGAAGCTGTTCAAACCAAGCCACAAGCACAGACACACCATGTTCACCAGTCACACCCCCCTGTCCTGCCACCCGCAGGCTACAAAGTCATTAAGAGCTAAACCACTCTTTTTTTGCTAAGGTTTGCTTTGATAGAAACTACTCCATCGTTTTCTGACCATGCAGGACAAGTGACTCCAGACTGTTCCATGTCCTGGCACCAGCTCTGCTGTCTAATGAGAGCAAATGATTCCAAATGGGAACAAGATGAGGGACGGGGAGATGGCTGAAGGCCTGGTTCCACAGGGCTGCCTTCAGGTCCTCTTTTCCTCCACATCACCATTCCTCTATGGCAGCACAGGCAGTGTGTGCAGAGCAGATGAGGATATCCACACAATCAGGCAACCTTCCTCCTACCACACTGTGCCAAAACCCCTGATGGCTTATGGTGTCAGTGTCCTTCACCACTGCAGCTGGAAAGAGGAATCTGCAGGGCTGGAGCTGGGTGAGCTTCAAGGTCCCTTCCAAGCCAAACCAGGCTGGGATTCTATGATGGGATTCTATGATCGCTGCCTTGCACACTGGGATAACGTAACATGAAAAGGCTCCAAACCATCTCCATAAGAGGGAGCAGGTTTCCTCAGAGCTCTTAAGCTGATGCAATGTTTATTTCAACTTTAGCCTGGGCTGTTGACACAAAAAAGATGGAAATCACATGGGAAGGATATTTCAGGTATAAAGAGGACCTGCAATAATCATGCTTCAGAGTGGACAGGATAACCTTCACGTGTTGCATCACACGGCTCTACAGCAATAAAGTGCCACTGCTTACACAGAGCAAACAGCACCTAATCCAACACATGCCTTTGAATCCCCCAGCCCAAGTCCCAGAGGGAACTGCTCAAAGCATGCTGAAAAGTAGGAAGCATTTCAAGTTATCACCCTCCCCTGTATCACTGCATTCAACTCGGATCTAACTCCTCCCCATTGCCAAACCACCAGAGTGCCAGAAAGAGAAAAGCCCTTTGAGCTTTCCACAGTACTCCTCCCTTGGGTTTAAGGCAAAAGCTTAACATTACTGCTAACTGGTTAAAACACAGCAGCATTGGAGACCTTCACTCCAGTTCTTTCTCCAGCAACACAAATTTCCTGATTTATGAGGTTTAGATCTTGCTTTTCCTCTTTTTTACAAGGGGAGCTTCTGGAAAAGCAGGAATGGAAACCCATGGGCTCTGTGCTCCCAGTGGAGTGATCCAGAGCTGGGTCACGTTTGGGACAGGCTGTCTGACCTCTCTGGAACCTCTTCACTTGGACAGAGCCTCATCAGCCAGCTCTGGGCATGAGTGCAGGGCCCGTTTCAGCCTGCAGGACTACAGCATCACCCCCTACTGAGAACCCTCCTAAACCTCCTAGAGCTGCTACCAGGCACTGCAAGGAATGACAAACCCCCCTCACCCCGAGCCCATGGTACAGGATACAGTCCCCATGGCCAACTCCCAGGACAAGGCTCCTGAGAGCAGGATGGATGCACTGCAAAACTGTCCCACCACGAACACACAACAGCAGCAAGCTCCCTTCTGCACCAGCTGCCACAGCAGCCTGCTTTGCACTGCTTTGTAGCTGCTCCCCACTGTGTTTGCTTTGAATCAATACATTTGTAGGAACTGTTATCAGAACACACATTGCTTTGCTGAAGGCAGGAGGGAGGCTGCTGAGATGATGACTGCTGAAGAGCAGCTCTTCTCAGCCGCAGTAAACAGGAGGGAGAGTCCACAGCCACAAACAAACACTTCCTCTGGACGTCATTTTCTCTCTTGAAATCCCACCAGTTCCAGAACAAGGGATGTTTACTTGTTTAGGCTTCAAAGCTGCACTCACAGACCTTTCTCAATGCAGGCCTATGGCTCTCACCAGCGATAAGCAAACATCTCCATGTTGTTCCTCCATCCCCCAGGAGCAATGGCACAGCGGGGCCAGACCCCTCAGCAGGAGTGGGGCTGCAGAGATGGGCACACAGGAGCCCTTCCCTTCCCATTAAACATCTCATAGCAGCAGTTACCTGCCAGCACCAGTAACTCCCTGGGTGCAGCAAACTTCTTGGTGCAAGACCCAAGCGTGCTTCTCTGATGCAGCTGATTCCCTCCCTTTGAGATGGTTTTCCCCAAGCTCTCAACCAAACCCAGAGCTCTGCAGGCAACACACATAACCGAGAGGATGGATCATCTAAAACCAAAGAGCATCTCTGCTGCATGGGGATGGTTTTTACTTTAACTCCATTTTATTCCATCCCCATCCCATAGGGCAGCTCTGCAGAGCCTGTGGGGGCCTTGGGAGCTCCCTGGATGCTGGAGGAGGATGCTCTGCTCTTGCGGGAGGACCCAAACAGCACTGCTCGCTTCTGCTCTGAGCTGACATGTAGGAAATGCTGGGTTTGGGGGTTCTGCCTGGTGGAGGATGAGGGTTTGATGCCACACAGCCTGTAAGAGGCAGCTCTTCACAAGTCGAGTGTAGAGAAGGCGTCTGACACCACGGTGATAACCAAACCACAGCAAAACTCAGCTATGATCCCACATGGAGAGCGCAGGGAAAGAATCCCATCGGAAAAGAGCTCAGGCATGTATTTATATTTAATCATTGTCAAGTTTAAGAACATCCTACTCCGGGGAAGAAGGACTTAGCAACAGGAAGCAAGCTGAAGGTAATTAAACACACCCAGAGCAGCCTGTGGGGAGAAGACAAACAGGCTTCATCCCCCTTCCTCTGCACCAGCGCATCCCCTGAGGAGGACCTGGATATCCTGGTGTCCCACAGCACCACCGGGAAGGTCAGTGCTTTGGTGGTGAGGAGGGAGCCCCACATCTCTTCTTCAAAGGCAACCCTGAACACCCAATGTCAAAGCAAACCGCTGCAGGGGTATCTTATGAACCTGCCATCCAAATAACCTGAGATCCCCCCTCAACCACAGCAATTCACCCCTGCTTCAGCCCAAGAGCAGGGCTGTGCAGAGCACGCAATACTCTATTCTATCCTATCCTATTCTACTCTATTATTCTAATATCACAGCCTACTTTTATGCATCAAAATCCTTTCAATAACACAGACTTGAGGCTTAAAGGAGTGCAAGGGCTCAATGCTCCTCCTGTTCCTAACACCCATGGTTCAATCAGAGCATCCCAGACTGGTTTGGGTTGGAAGGCACCTTAAAGCTCATCCAGTTCTAACCCCCTGCCATGGGCAGGGATACCTTGCACTAGAGCAGCTTGCTCCAAGCCCCATCCAGCCTGGCCTGGAGAAATCAAACCGTTCCCCTTTTCCAGCCTGCACAACAGTTCATCTACAACCCAGGTTTTAGAGCTCAACAGATCCCTGGAGCTGTCAAGAAAGCCATCAAGCCTGGAGGGTGCCAAATAACTCACTGTGCACATGCTCCTGGAAGGCTGTCATTAAGTGATGGTGTGTTAGTTCTCTGGAAATAAGGATGCCGCTCATTTGGGTTGTTTCATGACAAGCTACAGAGGCTCAAAGAAACACTAATATTTAGATTCATGTCTATCACTGTCTCCTACCTGTCAGCATGCTCCAGTCTCTCTTATTAAGGCACACAAATAACTGCAGTCATAGGAAAATCTTACTTATCCCCGTTTCCAAGCCTGGAAAAACAACGCATGGCTCATGCCATAGCTTAATTGTCAGCGCTTTAGGCTTTCAGAGAGAAGAGAAAGGACTTTCCTGCGGGCAGGTTCGTTTCTCAGAAGCACAAACCGTTGCACAGCGATGCCCAGCGCCAGATAATGGTGATCACGCTGCTGGAACAAACTGCCTTGACCTTCCTACCCAAAACCACGGCTCCACTGAACACTGCTGCTCCAGCCAGGGCTGGGGACATGGAGAGAGAGAAATCCTGCCCCAAATAGGCAAAACTCAAACAGTTTCAGCAAGCGTGGGGGTATTTCTAACAGGAACGCGTTCCTTCCCGTTTCATAACGGTGTGAAAGTGCAGAATTCCTCAGGGAAGCTCTGGAACAGGGAGCAGAGGCTGGCAGTTCAGTTGGCTCAAGACATGGTGTGTGTGCAACAGACCTGTGTCTGTGTATGGGAGAGGAGGAAACCGCAGCTGCCACGGGCAGGACTCACCCCGCATACGTTCGCGTTACGCATCCTACACATGATTGTAACTACAGTTAGAAACACACAGCAGAGAGCTGCTTGATTCGGGTGGTTTTACACCAAATAGGAGCTCCAAATGCAATAAGCCTCTCTATAAGGAATTTAAACAGCTTTCAAAGGCTGTAAAGCACCAGACCCTTCCAAGATGTACTTCATACCTTTTATAAGAGCAATAATAAGCGCTGGAGTTTTATAACCCCTGTTCGAATTAACACGCATCATCTTTTGTGCTGGTTCTTTGGGTCCTGAACAAAAGGGATGCTGTTGCTCAGCCAGCAATGCTGGAGGCTAACAGGAGCCTTCAGGGGGAAAATAAACCCCCCCCCCCAGCACAAACCAGATGGCACATTACAACCGCCCGGATTTAATTCTCAGCAGCCCTCGTGATGTGCTGCGTGTCGGCAGCACCGTGCCCCTCGTTCATCTCCTGCTATCGTGGAGCTTTCCTATTGAAATGAGGGCAAAAAATAGTAGCTCACCATCTGCTGAAAGCAAATCATTTATGGCAAATTGAAGACTGGGCTTATAAAATGACCTGACTAAATGGAGCAGTAAGTGCATTACAACCGAAGGGAGGCAGGGAGCTCCTCCCCTCTATCCTCAGAAATCCTCCTGGATGCTACAGAATTCCTAACGCAGGCTTTGCTCAGTGGTAAGGTGCTCAAATTCATATTAAAGCATCTGCTTGTCACGGGAGCCTTGTCCACAGCAATGGGTTTGGAAAGGCTGCCCATGTGGGACCTGTTAAGAAACCTCACTTGAACTCGGAGCTGCTGGACCCATAATAGCCCCATGGGGCAG